AAAAAAAAAAACACAACCTGAAGCTGAATCTAATTTAAAATACAAGTAGACACACCTTGAATTGGTATGATGGGATACAGTATTCTGAAATATAAGATATTATCTGTAACTAGTGTGCAAGGCAAGCTTGTTTTTGTTGGTTGCTTGCAAAATACCCTCTTCTCACCTACTTACCTTGTGGTTTGATTCAGGTTGCCACAAGGGATTGCCACTAGAGTGTGAAAACATGCAGGATTTATTTTTCCATTTTTCTCCTTTTCCCTTCATTACAAATGTCATGAGAAGCATCTCATGTGCTTCCCTATCTRTACTGTCAGTCATGTAGCTTCTTGTCTGGTCAAGCACTGTCATCCTGTGGCAAATAAATTACCATTACACTGATTCACTGAGGCTATACACTGCTCTTTAAAGGGCTGCTATAGGAAATGCAGTTCTAAAGGGGTGAAAGGTCTTTGCCTTGAGGGTAGGGAGGCATTGRAACATGTTGTCCAGGGAAGCTGTACATGCCCCATCCTTGGAAGTGTTTGGAGCCAGGTTGGATGGGGCTCTGAGCAACATCATTCCATCTAGTGGAAGGTGTTCCTGTCATGGCAGGGGGTTTGGAACTTTGTAATCTTTAAGGCCCCTTCCAGCCCAAACCATTATACAATGGTTTCTATGATTTCTGCAAAATTCATCATAGGACATGGGGAACAAGCAGGAATGGTTTACTTGAAATTAATCCAGATCCTGAGATACTGATAGTCACTGAAGAAAGAAAAAGAGAAATATTTCCCCATCACTTGAGAAAATTAAAATAAATTCCAAAAATATTTCCCAGCCACCTTCAAATAGAAGAAACTTCTGAAAATAAAGATAAGTATATAATTTCTTATTCCCTCGAAAGACTCTCTAATATCTGGCGGCATTGGTTGCATTTTTAGGACCCCGAACATTGATCGCCTGGCAAAGGAAGGAGTGAAGCTGACCCAACACCTTGCTGCAGCTCCACTTTGCACCCCCAGCAGAGCAGCTTTCCTCACTGGCAGATACCCCATCCGATCAGGTTTGCCTTGCAAAGCCACACAGCCCTTAAACATTGCTTTATTGCTGGACAGAACAATGTCATTAAATGGGCACAGAAGGTGTGCAAATAGGAGGGGTGCCACAGACATGCCAGCCTAAATACCTTTGAGGTGGTATCTGTATTTGTGGGGTACAGCAAACTGATCTGGGGGGAGGCAGAACAAAGAAGAACCAGCTCTGTAGAACACCTGTGTCTCCTCCATCTCAAAATTTTGATTGTGTTTTTGTACAGTTTTACAGACTGCAGCCAGAAGGGAGTCAGAGCAAATTGCTACRTTCAAAAGAAGTCTTTACACAAAACATGAGTAATAGTTACAACACACTGACAAAGCACTAGTTAAATTAATTCCTGTCATAGGTGACTCCCCATCAGATGTCAGAAGCAGCTCAGCTCTGCAGGGAGCYGAGTAGGTCTGTGCAGATGTCTGTCCATTCCCTCGAGTCAAGGTGCATTCATGGGAACGAGTCATTAATGGGAAAGCTTCTTCACATACTTGTCAAAATTAATCTGTCCTRGGAGATAACAGTTTGACAGCTATATTATTTTTCCTAGTTGTGTTTTTGAAGAAAAAACACTATCCTGTCAAACTGCATCTCTGAGATGGAGAGGTATGAAAACCAAATAGCTCTACATGTTTCTAACAGCAACCCTCAGACCCTTGTTCTATTGCAAATTATCTTCAGAGCCTTCATTCTCGAGGGATTTTGAAGCTGATACGTCATTCTACTTTTATCATGACAGCTCCCACTGAGACTGCTAGCTTGGAAATGCACATGGGCTTGTACAGACCCTCTTCCACTGTGACAACAGGGACAGAGATGTTCAGCATTGCAATGACAGATTGCATCATACATAGTGCTGTGTGATGGGATTATGCCAGCATAAAACGATAAATAATAGGGTGCAAATATGCAGGTGAAGAGAAGATAACTACTCTGTGGGTCTCRGAGACCAGGTATCAGCCATGCCACTGTGCAAGGAAATCTTGAGTTTCCAGGCAGCCTTCAGTGAGCTGGAGTCTGAGACTGACAGAGGGCTGTAGTCTCCCTGTGCTCCTCCCTGCCCTCACATTCACACTGAGCAAGGCATTTCACACAGCCTGGATGCCACTGAGAMATGTGAAACCTCCTATGCAGCCATGTCATTCCAAATGAAATTAAATTAGAGAAAAAAAGTCTCAGTGTTAGATATAAAGAAGAAAGAATAGGTATAATGGAGAGTCTTAACTATTTCTTAATCTTGTCCAGGGCCTTGGATTCATTTTCCCAAGCAAACAGCATTAGGATAAATGTTTAACACTATCATTTCAATGAAATCAGGAAACGAAAAAAGCATGTTGGATAAAAGTACTCAACCATTTATTCTTACTCAGATTGTTTTTATTGTATTTTTAGGGATGGATGCTATAAACACATACCGTGTTATTTTTTGGAATGCTGGCTCAGGAGGGCTTCCTCCAAATGAAACCACTTTTGCCAAAATTCTGCAGCAGCAAGGCTACAGCACAGGACTGATAGGTATGGGGCACCCCTCTCCTAAAGATGTTCTGGAATGTGTTTCACCAGTGAAACCATTTGTTTTAATTAATAACTACTCATACTTTCTTTGAAGTATTTTTATTTCCTAATTAAGAATAATATGTAAAAAGAAATTCTCACAAAAAAGTCCCTCTCTTAAAAGAACAAGCATATGATAAAGAAGACAGTATTTACCATGCACCTTCTCTCAAGCACGGCTGTGGTTGTTAAAATACATCATGGGAATATGTTATTAATTCCTGAATATTGTTGTACCAGGTATATTCTACTTATTCCAATAMTGTTTCATTTTTTTAAAAAGGTAAAAATATGAGCATCATTTAAATATGCATAATGACGTTTTACACAGTTCAGAGCAGATTCACAGAAAAAGGGAACAGCTGCTACTTAAAACATTAGAGACAGTTAATAGCATCACAAGATTGGGTCTTTCAGAAACAGAAACAAAGCAATTACTTTTCTCTTCAGTCACAATATGCCACTGTAATTCACAAGATTTCAGTACGGTCAAAAACCACAGTCTTCTTCAGCATCAATGTGAATTTCATTTTACTTTATATTTTATAGCACTTTTTTTAAAAAATACAGTTGTAACTTTTGGTCCTGATCTTGCTTCAAACAATTATTGATCTAAGATGTGTCACATAGTTCTACAGGCTGATAAAGCACAAACATTCCTGGCTGATTTTTCAGCTCYTTGCCTCACCTCATCTGAGCATGTAAAATGTCAAAATCCAAAATCTCTATCTGGCACATAAAAATATTGCCTGCACAAATCAACGGAATGTATTAATAAAAATTCCGCAGAAATATATTTGTATTCATTCAACAGAATAAATCCAGATCACTCAGGACAAAACTAAATGAAGCATTCCAAGCACTTTAAATTCTACATTGCTGAAGCTCCATCTCCTATGAGTTTTGCAGCAGTATTATTTTATTGTTTTAATCAGCTCATAAAGCAGACCGTGTGTGCTTCATCTTATGGTTATCATGAGAAAAACAATCAGATTTGTCTGCGCTCTCCCCAGGGAATTGCCCTGCAGGGGAGCTGTGCTGCTCGCCTGGAAGCAAAATGGACAGGCATTTTCCCTGTGGGCATCTCAGCTAAACTCACACTGCAGATGCCAAAAGCACCACTTGGATTAACTGGATTGACAGATCCTGATTCATTGCACCAAGGGGGATGATGGAAAGCACCGATGAGAAGTGACACACAAACACCCACGAGAACTTTACATTCAAGTCATGGAGCACAGAATCTTAACACAACCTCTACCCACATCACCACAGCTGARTGAGCACTAAGTAGTCTCACCTGAATTGTTTGTGATTATTTTGCCCTGAGCACAACCAGTTTAATTGCAAAGTTAAATCCTATTAATAACCTGCAGCTTGAGGTGATAATGAGATTTTTTTTGTTGGGAAATGCGTTGAAGGTACTTTGTAGTCAGAAAACTACTGCTGTGTAATGTATGCCCTCAGAGATTAATTTATCTTAATTATACACTTAGTTTAGCTTCTGGAGATTTGATTCTTTTCTAGCATGTCAGAAATCTTTATTGACCTTGGCTGGAGATTTAGGTGTTGGAGTGCAGCTGAATTCCAAAGAAACTGTAGCTGTACYTCTATTTATGACCAATGCATCTATGTATTTATTACAAAACTGTTTTCTTCTATAGCAGGCTCTGAATATGTCAAGARGTAAACTGAGTAGAGATTTTAGCTAAAAGCAATTTATCCACCTACAATAGAACTTCCATTCTTTCTTTATATTTACAGCTGAAAAGCAGCAATTTTTCTCATCTGAGGAGATTTTTTTTCCACTCCTATGGTAAAGCACTGCAATTCTATTGAAACCTACTCAGGGTTGGCTGGTAGTGTACATATTGGTCATACAGTGAGCCATTTGTTGAGGATGATATCATCCTGCAAGTGCACAGTTCCTCACTCCACAATAAGAATTAGTTTCAAATTAGTTTTCAAGTAAAATTCTTAATGTCCATGCTTATCTGGCACCCAAGATCTGCATAAAAGGCAATTAGAATTCTCATGAGTGGTAGATTTTGTTCACTCAATTCAGACATACACGAACCTTAGTGTTTGAACCAAATGAGCACACTTGCTATGTCACCGTGTGAGTGCCTAACCAGCCTGTTTGAAGACATTGGAGGGGAAGAAAAAGTATGGTTTTGGTATGCCATTCATCACTGGTATATTCATAATGAAGAACAAATTGTGTTACAAAAGGTCAAGATATGTTCCTTCTGATATATGAAGACTTTAAGTGTTTAAGTAATTAAATTAAGTATTAAGTATTTTTATATACTTATATATATATATATATATATATATATATATATATATAAAGTATTTAAAAGAAGTAGGCTTTAACTTTTTAAAATTCGATTAAATGCAAATAAATGGCAAAAATATTTATAAAACAAAATATTTTATTCTCATTCAGTATATGGAGATATAATGATTATAAAAGTTACTTACACATTTACAGATTAATGAGAAATCCTGATCTCCTGAGTTTCTGGATCCAGTGGTTTACCTGGCAAAGTCACCTGAGCTGTCAGTTTGACTATCTGTATCTCCCCTTATCAATCTGGCACCAACACTGTGTTGCCATAGTCCTGTCATCACCCTCTTCAAAACCTTACAGAAACAAGCACTTGAAGGTAAAGAGACAACTAAACAAGGTTGTTTTGTCCTGTGCTTACAGAAGGACAGCTTCCTCCTATTCGATACCTGTCAGGGAACCAGGAAGCCTGTGTATTTTTGCTCAGTTTTGAATTTTCCTCAATTTCTAGTTCCCTTTATAGCACTTTAAAAAAAATATGTCTTTTTGATCAAGGCTACAGGGCATGAATATGTGTACAGAGCACAAGTAACTTTGTTGGAAATCTGTAATGTGTAGAAGTTTACTTCTGTCAATTCCATTATATTACTCAGTATGTTTCTGTGTAGGATGAAGTTATTACAAGGAGAAAGCAACCAATCCTTTTTTTTTTGAGAAATGTTTTATGTAAGGAAAAGTCAATTCTCTTAAAATATTATCTCTTAAATAATTTCTGTTTTCAGGGAAGTGGCATCAAGGTGTTAACTGTGAATCCCGCAATGACCATTGCCATCACCCTTTAAACCATGGATTTGACTATTTTTATGGGATGCCTTTTACGCTAATAAGTGACTGTCAGCCAACGGAAACACCAGAGATGGACAGAGCCTTCAGAAGGAAACTCTGGCTTTCCACTCAAATGATTTGCCTTGCTACACTCACTGCTATCCTTGGAAGACTGATTGGTTTGATTCCAGTCCCCTGGAAAACACTGACCTGCCTTGCTGGGTTTAGTCTCCTGTTCTTCATATCCTGGTATTCAAGCTATGGGTTTGTACGGCACTGGAACTGCATTATGATGAGGAACCATGGAATTACTGAGCAGCCAATGGTGACAGACAGAACTACATCCCTTATCTTGAGAGAGTCCATTTCATTTATTGAAAGGTGAAGTCGTCTTCCTTTGATCACAAACTTTCCAGTTCTTGTGCATTTTGCAACTTTTAAACACCGCTATCCTGTTTCATGTCTTTGTACGTTTTAATAATTTTTACAATATTATGTAGGATAAGTACTAATGTTTTTATTCATTTTAATATGAATAATTATATTTTTTTTTTAAAGCTGCTGCTTAAGGATGCCTCTTGTTCCTAGCTCACTAAAGCTGGTATTTTCCAATTTCCATGGGTTGTGTTGAATATTTCTAGGCTGTATTTATGAAATATGTRTAACTAACAATGAGACCAATATTGCAGCTTGAAAGAATAGCTGTGATGTCAGAAATGTGTGTGTGGACCAGAGAAGGAGAGGCAGAGCTATGATGTAGCCTTATCATATGGGCTGATAAGTGAGCAACAGCTGGCAGGAAATGAACCTGCTGCCTTCACTTMAGTAGCAGAGTGGTGCTTTGACAGCAGAAAGTGGAGCTTCAGTCTGGAAGTTTTCTATGATTCAGGGCAGAAAAAGGATAATTTTGTGTAGGCCCAACATTATTCTATCAGATGGATCCTAATCACTGGGTTATAATATCTTAGAAARTAAGGTACTTCTGAAGGGATTGTTGAAACATCTACAATCAAATAATACCATTTTTCATTACAACTGACCTCTGTATGCGTTGAAATCCTGCCTCCCTGATAACACAGTGTTGATTTCTGTTTTGTAGAAATAAGCACAAGCCATTCCTCCTCTTTCTTTCCTTTTTGCATTCCCACACCCCTCTACTCACCACAGAGAAGTTTCTTGGGAGGAGCAGGCACGGTTTATATGGAGACAATGTAGAGGAAATGGATTGGATGGTAGGTAAGTCACCATAGCATACACCAGTGTCTCCACCTGTCTAATACCTAGGCCTAAATATGTAATGAAAACATGTTTGTTATTAAAAGATCAAGGAAGCCTTTACAATACAGGCTTCCTGCATGTGGCTGTGGTTCTTGCACTCCTTAGTAAATTATCAATAATATTGTGGTTGCAATCCACATTTTCTGTGCTTTTAGAGACAATTAAATCATAACTAAAAATCTCAACCTTAAAAAATATTAAACAATTAGCAGCCTTACACACATGAGAAATTACATTGGTCCATGTTTACAAGTCAGAGGTTAAAATTTATGTAGTGTGAGGGATATTTTTTTGCTTTTCAATACACACATATTCTTGTGTTTACAGGCCAGGTTCTAGATGCTCTTGACAAGGAAGGCTTGAAAGATACTACRYTGGTTTACTTTGCCTCTGATCATGGGGGATGGCTGGAAAGACAAGAAGGTGGAAGGCAGCTGGGTGGCTGGAATGGGATATACAGAGGTAAGAGCTGTCAGGGACCGTGACAACCCAGAAACAACTAATAAAGAACTCAGGAGACACCCCTGAGGCTTAGATAAGATTGTACACTCAAGGAACAACACTGGTTTATGGCCAAGAAGAGAACATGTCTCATTTTAATTAGGYATGTAACAATATAGCAAATTCTAACCTGGGCGGGCACTCTTTATAAGCATGAGGTCTCAAATTGTCGGGGGACTGGTCTGGTGAACACACTTTCACTGATGCTGAGTAGGAGCTTAGAAGCAAAAGCAAAAGAGCAAAGAAGGCTYATCAAGGTAACATGATAATACAGTAACATTTGTGTAAAATTTATCTTTATTTTAAATATTTTTTTCTTTTTTTTTCTTTTTTTTTTTTATGAAAGGAGGAAAAGGCATGGGAGGCTGGGAAGGAGGAATCCGTGTCCCAGGGATATTTAGATGGCCAGGAGTGTTACCTGCAGGCAAAGTTATTGATGAACCTACGAGCCTTATGGATATTTATCCTACAGTAGTTCACTTGGCTGGAGGGGCATTGCCTCAGGACAGGTACAAACAAAATTATCTTTATTCCTCTTTCTTTAAAAAAAAAAAAAAATCTAGTTTGGAAACAAATTCTAAGAGTGTGATGTTTGCTTTTTCAGTCCTGCTGGTTTTCTAGACACATCATTGTCTAGGAGATCAGTCACCTCTTCTCTACRATTGAGATTCAGCCCCTACCTGCCATCTTCTGCAATCCTGTATCTTGTCCAGAGTTGCCAGTTCCAGCAAGAGGTGTGCAGGAGGAGCACAGTCCTGCTCAGCTCACCTGAGGCTCTGTTTTTCCCTCTAGGGTAATTGATGGCCGGGACCTGCTGCCTTTGCTGCGAGGAGCAGCACACTCAGAGCATGAGTTCCTGTTCCATTACTGCGGCGTTCACCTGCACGCTGTGCGGTGGCACCAGAAGGACAGTGAGTACACAGYTTCTTTCCAAAGAATTGTGTTCAGTCTACAGGATGGCACATTGCTTTAATACAGTGTTTTCTGGGGGGATTGCATCTTTCCAAGTAGTCCCACGTGTAAGGTGATAAAGAACTTACTAGGGTTGCCTGTATTGGCAAGGACCAGGAGAAATTACAATGCTATGTTAACTAAAAAATGTAGAGCTGAAGGGTATCCAGAAATGGACTCCAGAAAAACTCTGGAGTTCACTCTTCCTTGGGATTACTGACACTGTAATAACCAGCCTTCTGTGATCCTGTCTCTCCTGACAGCTGGAGCTGTTTGGAAGGCTCATTATGTGACTCCCATCTTCAGTCCCCCTGGAGCAGGAGCTTGCTATGGAAAAGGAATTTGCCCGTGCTTTGGGGAAGGTGTGACCCACCATGACCCTCCTCTGCTGTTTGAGCTCTCCCAAGACCCTTCAGAAGCCAAACCCCTCTCAGCTGACACAGAGCCCCTCTTTGACTCTGTCATAAGGAGGATTGGCAGAGCCATAGAGGAGCATGGCAGGACACTGACTCCAGTCCCAGAGCAGCTCTCTGTGTCCAACGTGGTGTGGAAGCCGTGGCTGCAGCCRTGCTGTGGGACATTCCCCTTCTGTTGGTGTGATAAGGAAGGTGATAATAAACTTGTTGACCTATAAAGKATAGAACCTGATACTTTCTCAACATATATTTAGAGTGTTTCCTTTGGGGGTGTCGACCCATGGGTCATTTTTTCTCTAAATTGAGCCTTTATAAAATAATTGTTCCAGTGAATGGCACAGTATTTAGTCAAGGTAGCTTTAAGCTGGACATTCTCAGGGAGGGATCAAGATAAAAYGATCTAAAGACCATGTTTTTACTTGCATCTGCTGACAACTGAATAGTTCATATGCACTGAAGCAGGCCAAGATTGGAGCTGTACAAGTAATGATATAACTTATGATTTGATGATTATGAATGTATACTAAGAAGCTGTGCATTGTTTTTTTGTGCTGAATTTCTAAGTGATTCCTGGACTGAGGTCTCCCTTAATTTGTTATMCTTATCTCCCTATCCTTTTGTTATCCTGGCAATGCAAAAGGTGACCCTATAATAAATTTTTGCAGACAATTGCTTCCAAAATAATTAGAAAATAATCTTRCCTGCAGTTCCTCACAAAATCTTCCTTAGTAGAGGCTTTTTTCTTTCCAGCAGCAGTGATGATGGCAGCTGACTGGCCTGGGCATGGCACAAGGTTTGGAAACATGACAAGCTGGGCAGTGGCTGTCTGTGCTCTCTGAGAAGGGTGGGACTCCTCTGGTTGCAGTCAGCCTCTTGATGGASAATGAAAAATGGATGGGATTTTCCTTTTCCAAGCTTTTCTTTGCATCCAGCTCCCTAAACAGCACTGGCAAGGGCCTTGTGGCACAGTAGTGCCACAAAATAACCAGTTCAGTCATCTGGACACRGGATTGTACAAGTTACCCTGCTGCCCATATCTCAGCCATAACTGTTCCCTGCTGACAAGCAGCAGGTTCAGAAAAAGCATGTTTCATCTTTGAAAGATGCCAAACACTAATTATGAAGCCCAGTAATAATTTTCTTGGGGAAAAAAAGTGCAGAATTAAGTATTTTTTTGCTTCATAATTTACATTTTCRCTTCACCAAAGAGCTAGAATTACCTAGGTCTATCTCTTTGCATTTGTGCTTTCTTTTGCTGCAGCTCCYTCCTTCTTTGTGTTGAAATAGTTGTTTCTATTTAAGTGGTCTTGCAGGTAATGTTTTTCTTTGTAGGGCAGTAAATACATCTGTTCACACAGACATGTTTACACTGGTGTATCTGAATATGTAGGCATCTGAGAACATAATTTGCCCTTTTGTTTTACTTCACTATTTTTAAGTGTTCTTCTAACTAGTGTGCTAGGACCAATTTATCTTGCTCATCTTCTTTGGCAAACATTTGGTTTATTTTGATTTTATTTCCTCTTTCGTTTCCCACCATTCAGACACCGGGAAATCTGCAGGTAAACAAAGCCCTACAGCTTAAATGCAAAGTTCTATTTTATGCTGTGACTTCATGCATTTCACAGATTGTTATAATTTAACCAGATGCTTCATGAGTGCCATTGATGATAAAGGTGCTCAGTCTTACCGTGAAAAATTCAAGAGATTCAGTAAATACATCACTTTTGCGTATTCTGATTGCTGCTACTTCCTCCTTTGTTAGGGATGTCTGCTCTTTTTCCTCAWTTGAGTGTATTCTATTTAGCTGGTTCTTCCTTGGAGAGATTTAAAGGTCTTTTCATATTCAATATGAAGTGTTTTCTTTACCTGAAGTTACTGTAAACAGGCTGGCATTTTTCAATTTTCTCAGTCATTTTCCAAGATACCACTCCTATTCTCAAACCAGTTTAATATCTGGGATTKTATATCCTTTTAATTTTCTTAAAAAATTTGGAGGTATAATAGCTGTGCATATGATTGAACCAGTTTTTCTTGCTCAGAAATACTTCATAGCACTGTAGGATATCCATTAGGAACTAGAGGATACTGGAAAACATCCAAGCTAGGATTTATCCTGGACACTGGTGTTTGTGAATGAAAGCACAGTGACCCTCCCCTGCTGATCCCCAAAGTGCCAGGGACCAACAAACATTCCAGGTTTGGTAGAATGGACATTATGCTTGGAATGATGACAGGCAATAATAAAGGCTGCCTWGACAAAAACATATTTGGAAATATCCTGACTGGCAAATACTAATCAGCTTGTTCACWTTTTTTTTTCTTTGCTGCATGATTCACGGGCTACTATTTTAGTGCAAATCATTTGCTAAGAGTGATTTTTTTCTGCTTAGTCACAATGCAGTTTTCATCTAGCTGATTTATGCTGGTCATAGCCTAAGATGACGTAGGCAGCATTTAAGACTAGATTTCAAAAGCATCTTAAAAAACCCCTAAGACCCCTAAGACCTAAATTTGGATACTGAAAATATTTTCAAACACTGTAGAAAACTACATTTGAGCATGAAAATTAAGCTGTTAAAAACATAATTATCTCTTTTCATTTAAAAAATTGTCATAAAATATTTCTCTGTTTCACTGAAAAGGGATCAGTGAAGCGGGAGTTTAAAAAAATGGAATAATTCTCTAAGTAGTAGTTCATTTTTTTTGTTTTTTTTTTTTTGTTTTTTTATAAAGGATTTTACTAATCTCAGCAGAAGACTGGGATACTTGCAAAATCAAACATGTGAGTCAGTTACAAAGCTTACTTTCTGCCATTGCACAGTTCATCCATTTCTTTTTACTCATTGTTACAATTAATGAATTACTTGTAACAAAAAATTGAAAAGTCAAAATTGCAAGTAGTTTGAAAAATACACATCCAACCAATATGAAATAAATTGAGAAATCAAGAAAAAATGTTGATAACCAAGAGATAGGGAAGTTGTTTTATTTCATCTATTTCAGTGTCTGCCACACTAAACATTCTGGTAAGAGTGCTTTAAAAACATCACATCACCTTACTATGCTTCTGATTATGGCAGATGGCCTGAGACACAGGACAGAAGAGCCTTTCTAGTTGGACAGAGGGCCTGAGACACAGGACAGAAGAGCCTTTCTAGTTGGACAGAGTGAATTTCTACAGATGTGGGAGTTGGGAATGGTGTAATCATGGTGGAGTAAAAGGGCCAAACCCAAATCCCTACTTTCTTCACTGTGTCTTTGCAGAGTGGATCCGTTCCTTGAGTCTTGGCTTGTAACCCAGGAATTTTCTGCTGCCTCCTGAATTAAACCATTTCGACCTAGTTATTTTCAACTTCCTCATTAAAAAGAAAAAAAAAAAAGGAAAAAAAAATCTTCATATTTCTGAAGCTTTCCTTTAATATCCTCTCCCTAATACATGCAATCACCCTACTCTCCTCAAGAGTGTTTAACTTGAGCTGAAACACCATTCCTTGTGCTCTCATTTCTTTGCCCTGCTCCATGGGCTTTTCCCAGCTATCAATTACCTTTTTTGGGCAGAAATTCTTAAGGAAAATGTTGCAGTAATTATCCCTATATGCTGATAACATTTAAGACCCTTTGATTCTCGTACACCACACCCACCGATGATGCTGTGAATATCACGGTAATTATCAAGGTCGTTAGTAAATTCTGTTTTCTCCTTCTTGCCATAGTATTTTTTATTAATATTTCTTTTGGCCTTTGTGCAAGAATGCGTCTACACCAAGAACCTCTCTCCTGTTTTCTGCCTTATGAAGAAAGCCCTTATTCAGTGTGTTACAGCATAACACCTTTGTACCCTCTTTTTAAACCAAAATACACGCACAGAGCCAGTAAAAAGAGGAGTCCAGTGCCCCCATGGGACTGGAAAGATGCACGGCAAATACTGTGCAACCACGCGGGTATTAATGCTGGCACAGGAGAGAACTCCCAGAGACAGGAACTGCAACAACATCCAAGGGAATTAGCCAGGCTGCCAGAACGGGCATGAACACACCGATGTGACAACACGATGATGGATTTTCTTTGATSCCAGAGGAGCTGGTTGGCTCATTCCCTGCATTATCCAGGGCTCTCCCACTTCCATCCGCAGGGTGTTCTCCACACGGTGTGCTGTCGGCRGCAGGCTCGCTGCCCGAGATTGCCCTCAGCTCCTGCTAAAACTTTGCAATTTGAGCTGCATTTCCAGCATCTGCTTCAGAACAACTCTTCCTCACTCCGCACCTGTGACCAGGGAAGGCAGGAGGAAGGAAATGCCCTTGCCCAGGTTTTTAAAGGACRCAGAAACCTGTCAATTACTCTGATAGGACGATGTGAGCCTGGCTTTGATAACCCCTCCGTGGAAGCAAAGAGCAGAAAGCCCGAGGTGAAGAGGGASTGAGAACAAAGCTCCTGCAGTGAGTGAGCATGGAGTAAGTAAAAGATCAGTGGGTTCTTTGGATTTTGGTTTTTCTTTGGTTGGTT